CGGCGGCCCATGCAGCGCAGACGCGCCGGGGGTGCGCCCCGGGCGAACTTTGTCTCCTTTCTCCCCAAAGAAAAGAAAGCAGGGGCTTCTCTGTCCCCTCCTCTGCCCCAGCCCCTCCTCTACAGACCTACACACCTAGACGAGTTCTCTGTCCCCACCTTTCCCCCAGTCCTACAGGCCCTTCCTGTTGGCCAAGATGATTCTCCAAAGGTTTCTTCCAATTTCAACTGATCTTAAGTTCTGTCACCTTCTCGTCTTCTTCTTGAGATTACTCTTTCTGTCTCAAAAATCCTGTTTATGAATATTTAGGTCTCGCGCTATTTACCTCTCTTCAACTATGGCCCCAGTTCTTTTGGGGCACAACAGAGTTGGAAAAGTTTTGCCTCTGGGACGCCTTCAGTAAGCTCCTTGTCCTCCAATGCGCCCCGGAAGCTGCTGTATCTGAAACCCTCGAGAGGGCAGCTGTCCAAGGCCTGGGCACTCCTAAGAAGGGCTTGGGGAAGACATGTGCTTTTTACTCCAACAGAACTCTGAATCTGTGCCCCTCACTCTCTTTGATGCTTGAGATGAAGGTTGAGTACAGAAAAGCCTTTTCTAGATGTCTGAAAGCTTTACTTTAAAGATTATTAGATGCGAGGCATTCTATAGTGATCTCTCTGATGGCTTCCCAGATTTCTCATGAGAACAAATAGAAAGTGAGGAAGAAAGAGAGAATCGAAAGGTACTTCCTGAAAGTTGCAATTACTTCATGGAGGCGATTGTAGTTAATGGCATTAGATTCCACATCTAGGATTTAATTTATTAGAAAGTCAAGGGCTCTTATATAATTGCTTAAATGCATCACGTACATACATGTCAAGATTATGTGTTTATATACATTTGTATGTATACCATGCAACAGTTATCTACAATTTCCACTAATGATGACTTGATTTTCATTTTCTTTAGGGTTATGTCCACAGATTGAATAAAAGAACACAAAGCATCTTTATTATCCACATTTCTAAGTTGATCTTCTTTTTGGCATTTAGAGTAAAGAGGCACAATGAAGTTTCTGAGTTGCCAAGAGAACAAATTTGGTCAATCAAGAGTGAACTAATCCTTCGCCTCAGGGTCAGGGCTTTCTCCGTCATTACTTTAAAATAGTACAGTCATTCTTCAAATCCTTTTGGAAAAGTCCTCTGACTTAAAGTCCCTGCCAACCTGGGGTGGGGTGGGGTGGCTGTGTGAAAGAAGGAGGTCGGTCAGAGAAAGAGATGCTTTGAGGGGGAGGAGATATTTTTCAAACTGTTTTTGGACGATTTTTCTCCCCCTTCTTGGTACAATCACTGGTGAGAGGGGTCAGAAGGAGAAAGAAACTGAGGCTCCCAGAAGCAATTATCAACAGGAGTTAATACACACTCCTCAATCCTCATGCCAAGATGGAAGGCACTGAGGGGTCTGGCACTCAGTGCCCTGTCACTAACTAATTGGTCCAGGCTGTAGCTGCCAATCAACTATCACTTGGCAACAAGTTACACCTACAGCTCCGATTAATACTTATGCATGTGGGCACCTATAGTGTGTACACCCGCTTGGGCCTTGGGAAGAACTAGTCACTAAAAAGGGTTTATGGAGAGTTCTCTGAACACTAAGCATTAGCATGATCTCATACAAGGCTGAACCTATTTAAATGCTCTGAAAAATAATAATGTCATATTTGGAAACAATTTTCAGGACTGTGGTAGACAAAAACTAGACCGATTCAAAGTAAGCTATCAAAGTTCCAAAAAGTATAAAGCATTCCTGTGATGCACACTGGAGTGCAGGGTGTTTATAAAATAAATTGCTCCATTGATATGGAAAATAATGCACCAAGCTCGACTCATACAAAGTATTTTCAGGGGGTCGTAGGCTATTTAGTTTAAAATCTAAATAGAAAAGCAGAGCAAAGAACTCTTTCAATTGCTAAATGGATAATATAGTTTATAATTTGTAAACCATTTCCTTTATTTCAGTCTGGCTGACTTTCCATAACACACTGGATCTCACTGCACACCCAGGGCCTCCTAAATTATCAAAAGGAAAATGGATCCATAGCGTTCTTAAACAGTATTCTTTTCCATTTTGTTGTTTTTCATTCACAATGTAACTGATATTTGTACGCAGTGAATGAAACAAATCAAAAGATTTAAAAACTAGATTGAAGAAATAAGAATGTAGCTGAAAACTGAGTTTATAACCTAGATATTTAGTGAAAAAATAAATATGAAATGTCATTTCCTTTCTAGTATAATTATATATTATTTGATGAGTTTACTATTAGGAAATGAATGGTCTGAAATGAAAGCAGTTTAATCTGCACAGAGAACAATTTGCTTTGCACTGCAAACTGTAGCAATCCTGCAGTAAAAAAAAAATAAAACTCTACACTAATACTTATAGTGATTGATACGAAAAGAAGTGTTCTTGCTGTACCTTGGATAAGCAGTAAGGTAAAAGAAAAAAGACAAGATGTCATATGCCATTGCCCAATATATTGAAACATCATTCTTCTTATTTTTGTCATCATTATTCTATGTCTTTTCTTAATCTAAGTCAAACCGTGAGGTTAAGACTCTATCTACTATGATTGTCATTAAGCATCATCTCCTCAGGATGCATAACACAAATGCTCCCAGAAATTTCCTGAGGATTTGACAACATAAACTGGGTGGGCTCCAAGGATATTTGAAAGGATCTTTTTTTATCATTTTCATAGAATTTGTTGGAAAAACAGTAGTGTTTCTCGAAGTTAGGTTTGAACATTGTATGTTCTCAAATCAAGGACTTTTTGGTGTTTAAGAATTACAACCGCAGGTTGATGCCTTATCACTTCATGAACCAGGCCTTTCATTTGCTTAAAACAGGAAAATAGTTCAGGCCTCTACCCCCTCAGTTACTGTTTCAGTTGGGCCCTGCTCAGCTCACATATTTTCTGCACTTCTTAGGCAGTTTGTGGGAGATTCACTGCAGAATAGTGTGAGCTGGGCCATTCTTGCAACTTCAACAAACTTTTTTCCATTTCATGAATAATTAGATCTCAAATGGATTTCTCTTAGATTTTCCCAGAAATTTTCCTTTAGGAAGAAGCAAAGGTGCAAGGATTGTATGATTACAAACACCCAGGCTCATTTTAAAAGGGAGTCCCTCTAGCAAAATGAAGGGCTGATACAAAAGGAATCTTCAGGCTGCTATAATTAAGGGGGAGAGCCGGGGGAGCAGTGGTTTAAGCGCCTGGCTGCTAAGGGAAAGGACAGAGAGTTGAATCCATGTGCTGCTCTGAGGTTTCTGCAATCTCTGTAGGTTTCAGCCTGAAAAAACCTTAAGAGGCAGTTCTATTCTGTACTGGAGCGCGGCTAAGTCAGAACTCCGGCAAGGGGTTGGGTTTCTGTGTTTAGTACAAATGCCTTTGCTGTGAGAAGGCGCACTATAGACTGCACTTGAAGCGGCGCTGAAGGATGCGGGGCGTGACCCTACTGCAGTGTCCAGTGTTCCCACCGCCCTGCAAGAGAACGCACGGGCCAGTTGCTTGGTGCTTTCAGCCCTCAATCAGCTCCCCGAGGGAGCGCCCCCTTCCCCCATCTCAGGGCGGGCTAGGGTGCAGAGCGAGTCCTGGATACCAACTTTCCCCTTCTCTGCAGGCGCAGAGTAGCTGGCGGAAGTGCAGAGGAGGAGCTGGGTGGCAATTCCGCGCACTGAAACGTGACCCGAGGCTGTACGTCCCTCCCCCACACCCGAGCGCCGCTTTCTCCCGGTTCCCTTTCTAACCCAACCACTAATCGTCCGGAGCGCGCGCGGGTGGGAGGGAGAGGGTAGAGAGGGCGAGTTCGGATTTCACCGCCGCCGCCGCCGCCGCGCGCGCTCAGGAAGCAGCGTGGCTGTGACCCTTTTCCCGGGCCCCTCCTTCCCCGGCCTCTCCCCTCCTTCCTTCCTCCCTCCCTCCTCCCGCCGCCCGCGCCGAGTTTATATACTCGCCTCCCCACGTCACTCGCCAGCGCGCCATGCAAATAATCCCCCCGCCGCCAGCTCCCATTGGCCGCGGCCAACTCATTTAATGGCAGCTCGGGGCTCAGCGTATGGCTGCTGGGGCCCCGGCGCGCCGCAAGCCTCGCTTCTGCGCCTCCGCTCCGTGCGCCCGAGCCGCGAGCTGGGAAGCGGAGCGCACACTTCCCGGCCATTTCGCCTCCGGTGCACTGAGGTGCCGGCTCGCCTCCCCCTCTTCTTGCTCCCACGCTCCCTTCCACCGCCACCCCCTTCCCTCGCCTCCTCCGCGGCTCGATTTTAATTGCATCCTCCCGTTCCCGAGGCGGCGGCGGCGGCGGCAGAGTGGCGGGGTAAAAAGACACCCCCCTCCCTAAGTCTCACTGTCTCTCGCGGGGCACCTGGGATCGGCAGATGCAAACCGCACGCGGCTCGTCTCTCTCAGAAGTTATGGCCACCAAGTTTGAAGGCTGATGAAAGAATAGAGTCAAAGCAGAAAGGCGGGAGCGCGCGCGCGCGCGCGAAGGCGGCGTGCGGGGAGGCGGCGACCCCTCAGGCCCAGCCGGACCCGCACAGCCAACTCCCTCCCACCTCGGAAAGTGGAGCTGCAAGTTTGCAACAACTGCACCTGTTTGAACAGCTCCGCCACGGACAAGCAGGCTTCAGCGGCGACAAGGGCAGCGGCCGCAGCACCAGCTCTCGTCCCCTTTGGCAAGTGGTTTCTGCACAAGGAGAAACTTTCTACCTGTGAATTTGACCAGCGCTGAGCGCGTGTGTTTTTCTTTTGTGTGTGTGTGTGTGTGTGTGTGTGTGCGCGCGCGCGCGGTGCTGCATCTACCTTTTCCCTCCCTTATTCTTTCTCCTAAGACCTCTTCTCCCCTCCTCTCACTCATTTTGACTTCTTGTCCCATTTCAATCCCCTCTCCCCCGACCCACCCTTGGCCCTCTATGCTTGCGGCTTTTTTTGCGTGGTGCTGGTGAACCTGAGAGCCGCCCCGATGTACAGCATGATGATGGAGACCGACCTCCACTCGCCCGGCGGGGCCCAGGCCCCCACGAACCTCACGGGCCAGACCGGGACGGGCGGCGGTGGCGGGGGTGGCGGCGGCGGCGGTGGCAGCACCAAAGCCAACCAGGACCGGGTCAAGCGGCCGATGAACGCTTTCATGGTGTGGTCCCGCGGGCAACGGCGCAAGATGGCCCAGGAGAACCCCAAAATGCACAACTCGGAAATCAGCAAGCGCCTGGGCGCCGAGTGGAAGGTGATGTCGGAGGCGGAGAAGCGGCCGTTCATCGACGAAGCCAAGCGGCTGCGGGCCCTTCACATGAAGGAGCACCCGGATTACAAGTACCGGCCGCGCCGGAAGACCAAGACGCTGCTCAAGAAGGACAAGTACTCGCTGGCCGGCGGGCTGCTGACGGCGGGCGCAGGTGGCAGTGGCCCGGCCGTCGGCGTGGGCATGGGCGTGGGCGTGAGCGCCGCGGGCGTGGGCCAGCGCCTGGAGAGCCCCGGCGGCGCGGCCAGTGGCGGCTACGCGCACATGAACGGCTGG